TTATTTTCATTTTACAAAAATCAAAAAACATGAAACATAATAACAGATATTTTTATGTTTTCGGTTTGGTTTAAGGATACATCGCAATAAACAGAGAGATAAACCGCGAAAACACACATATGTATATATGTATGTCGTATTTCAATAAAGCTCATTGCGACTATCACCACAAAACTTTTCCAGGGTTCACTCCCCCAACCTTTTCTATACTAAGTTCGAAAACTATCTACAAATGTTCTTGAAACAATATCCTTCTATGTCCAATGCTTTGATAAATTGCTTTATCGTTCCTGACTTTATTGTATTTAACCATAGAGTTCATTTTGAGCGAATTATTTCGGCGTGGATGTTTAGTTCTCGTGTCATCATTGTGTCTGAGGTGTCCATGCGACAATCTTATACCAAAACTTACCGATCCAAACGAGGTTAGATCTCCGAAAGTACCGCCCTTGGCCAGATAAAATCCGGGTCAATTCCGATAAACTACTGTGAATTTTCGGAGTAGAATTTTATACCCTTTGATGTCTCCTATAGAAGACCTGCACAGTGAGGACGATAGGCTCCCAGTTAAGTAGCAAAAGGACTCCTCTCTAAGCAGAGAGAGAGAGATGCCTCCTAGGAGCATCAGAGTTCCTTCTTCCACTACGTCGATGCCAACAATACGTCGACACACTGCGGTCGCAACAAACGTCAGACAACTACTAACCATAATTCACAGTGGTGCCTTACTTATCGCGACCTTTGCGCAGCTTCATTCTTACCACCTCTTTGGATGGACTGCTAACTCTACAACTTATCTAAACCTTATCATCCAAACGGGTAACCGTTACAACAACAACAAGTAATCCATGTGAATTACTTTTGTAAAGAAAGTGACATTTTCATTGAGTAAAACAGAAAATTTTGTAGTCTGTAGGTAAATATCTCCACGTTTGATTTTTATTAAAACTTGAGAACATACCGGGTAATAAGGTAAGGACCCTAAGATTCACGTGGTGTGTATGTGTGAAATAGGTGCCCGGAAAAAACCCCTATCATTGAAGGAAAAATAATTTTTTCTGCCGAAAGCCGATAGTTTATCAAAATATGTGATATGCATTCATTATTAAAGCAATAGCTAATTCTATACTTTCTTGAAGAAATTCAGAATCAAGGCACTTGAAATCACGGAGAAATGAAAATCAGCTAACTAATTGCAATATTGCCCCCGAGCGCTCGTTTAACTCTAGTCGTCATTTTGCCACTTTGCGTCTATTACTTGTTATAAATGCTTCACTAAATGTTGAGAGTGAAAATAAGTAAAATCTCCACAAAAGCTGAGTTAAGATCATATATTATGCAACAAAAATAACGCAGGGGTCGTAGTACATAGACGATGCTAATATTTAATATTTGAACTCTTTAAACAACGAGACTGAATACAACAAGTCGAGATTATCGGTAGTATAACTTTATGCAACATACGCTTTCCAAAAACTAATTTGATAAGAAAAACCGTTAATTTCGGTTGCACCGAAGCTAAATACCCTTCACAGGTGCATTTCTGTTAGTAACTATGTGTTCAGTTTGTATGGAAGGTATATGCTACAGTTAACCGATCTGAGCAATTTCTTCGGAGATTAGATTGTGGCCTTAGAAAATAATATATACCAAATTTCGTGAATATATCTTGTCAAATGTGAAAGTTGTCCATACAAGAACTAGATTCCGATCGTTCAGTTTTAATGGCAGCTATAGGTTATAGTGGTCCGATATCGACCGTTCTGACAAATGAGCAGCCTCTTGAAGAGAAAATGACGTTTGCAAAATTTCAAAACGATATCTTGAAAACTGAGGGACTAGTTCGTATATATACAGACAGATAGACAGACAGACGGGCATGGCTATACTAACTAACAGAAATACACCTGTGAAGGGTATTTAGCTTCGGTGCAACTGAAGTTAACGTTTTTTCTTTTATTTTTATTTTTTTGCTATTAAATCGTGTTATTTTACAAATGTAGTAATATGGCATTATTATAGAATGTGTTGACTTGAAGTCACGAAAATTTCAAAAAATAAAAATAATAATATTAGGTTGTCAAAAAAGTTTTGCGGTATTTCGCTAGTTCTAGTTTTATCGGGTCATGCAATACCTTTCTGAAAAGCTCATTTCACGCGTTAACACGTGTTTGATTGATTGTCGTTTCTTTAAAGTCGTTCGTGAGTTATAGCGTCGCAAACATGGAGCAAAATAAAGAGAAAATACGCCATGTTTTACAGTACTACTAACATAAAAACAAAAATGCATCTCAAGCCGCCAATAAAATTGGTGCAGTTTATGGACCCGATACAGTTTCCATTTCAACCGCACAACGATGGTTTCAACGTCTTCATTCTGGTGTAGAGGTGGTCGAAGATGCGCCACGCTTCGGAAGGCCTGTCGTCGAAAATTGAAATAAAATCGCTGAATTGGTCGAAAGAGACCGGCATAGTAGCAGCCGTAGCATCGGTCAAGAGGTAGATTCAATAAAAATACCGCAAAAATACCGCAAGACTTTTTTGACAACCAATAATAATAATAGTTTCCAAAGTTATAGTTGTTTGTGTTGACTCTGTTCCAAAAAAAGGTACTTGCGGTGACAAACATAAGTCTTTGGAGATTCATCTAAAATCAATCGACAAAAAAGCTTTATAAATAAATACTTCTGGGCCTGATTGAAGGATTTTTTTTTCAAAAATTATCAAAATGGCGGCTTCAGGAAATTTTTTTTAAAAATTTTTGCGAAAAAATCAACAGATTCAACAAAATCAACAATCAAAATCAACAAAAAAATAGAAATTTTTGAAAAAAAAAAAAAATGCTTCGATCAGGCCCGAGTTTATTATGTATTCTAAAGGCTGTATAAATCTCATTAAAATCTACTGAGCGGTTTTCGAGGTTTTCGAAAACATAGTTTTGAGAAAAACGCGTTTAAAGTTTCATACTAGCGCTTTGAAGTGCCCGTGCTCTCTTTGTTATTTGTCAACTAACTCTAAAACTAATTATCAACGTGAAATTCTCAGAGAATATTTTTAAGATATTACACTTAAAGAAAATGCAAAGTAATTTAATTTAATTAATTTCTTGAAAATTCTGATTACCTCTAACCCCTAAAAACTGTGACATTCTGAAGTTTCTTCCAATGCTTTCGCTTTGTATTTCTTACTGGAGTTTTTATCAGAAAATTTGGTTTTAAGGAAAAATAATTAGGAATCTTAATGCTCTTAAACATATACATATCTATATCAAATAACTCAAATTGTCGATTTACAGTTTCATTGAAAGAGGGTAAAACCATGCAGCCATAGCAGCCATGTCTTACGATCTTTTAATTTTGTTTCTGTTAGCGGGAGTGTGCTGTAAAAAGGTGAGTATACCCGTCTTCTTATCAGCAGAAATTAGTGCTGAAAACCCGCATAATATTTTGCGACAAGCGGCACATACTTTTTTTTTGTAAAATATACATACAATTTATTTGCACGTACATTTATTAAAAAAATGATAATAGCAGCCCAGTGCAGTTTTGCGGATGTATAAAAGAAATATTTTGATAAAAATGTTTGCAATAAAGACTTAAGATTTTAACGTTTTTTTATAAATGAATTTGAATAAAAATTATTTTTTAATACACATTTTTTGTTACTATATATTTATATAAATTGTGGCGAGAATGAAATTTCTTTATAAGAGAGATAACGGTAAACTATCAGTGATGTATTACTATTAAATGTTTAACAAAATGTTTAAGAAAGAAGGTCAAGTTCATTGTTTTGAACAACATTTTGCAAAAGGAATGCTATTAGTGGTTTGTGAGCACACTTGTGTGTTAGATAAACTGCTGATCTTATTGAAGATATTATTAGATATTTCTATGTATATTAATTCTATTTCAAATTCTTTAAATTTGATGTCCGTAATGAAAAATTTCGTTTGTTCTGAGATTTGCAAATAAAAGAATTATAACAAATGGCAATGCTCTCCTTAGTTCGATATACATATTGTAATATCGTATTAATTTTAGAAAGTTAATTGTCAAAATGCTTCAAAAAGTTGACAACTTTGTGACCAAAAATTCTCAACTTTAGTTTCTTAAATGTCTTCATATGAAAATATTTTTATCAAAGATATTTCAAATTTTACAAATTTGTTCTGAAGAATTTTTTGAATTTATTTGCAAAATGTGTTGAAAAGGGTGGCAACTCCTTTAAATGATTTACCGTACATAAATAATTTCTTCACCCCATTAGCGAGACGCCCGTTTTCAAATATTTCATTTAATATGCTGTTTGAGTGAATTAAATATTCTAAACAAATGGCAACTCTTTTCAAAAATAATTTTGGCTTTCGCAACGTTCTTTAGTTCGATATCCATATCTAAATATTTTATTAATTTCAGAAATTTAAGTGTCAAAATACTTGGTGGCAACTATGTAACCAAAAAGTCTTATTAATATTTTCATAATTCTCACATTTATAGTATCATTATTATGTAATTATATTTTTAACAGTAGGGGCAGTTCTCCGCAAAATCGTTTTCAGCTGTAAGCTTTTGTAATTCATATATTTTGATCTTCATATTTCAAAAATAATTTTAAACTTTGTCAGTCTCGTCCAATGACGTTTTAAAAAAGTGGCAAGCTTCTTTAGATAATATATCCTATTAAAAATTATTTCTCCTTTGGCCAGTCACTAAGCGATTGCATAATTTTGAATATATAAAAAACAGAAAGATATATTATATAAAAGCGGTAATAGTTGGACTCTTAAACCGGTTGAGGAATAAATTTAATTACTTATTTTATGCGAAGTTTAAGATAAAATATGAAATAAAAAGTTTCCCATTAAAAATATTCCAGCCTTTTACAAATGTGTCAGTGTTTTTTGTTGCATAATGCCAATTTTGTGTGCTAGACTTTAATATATTTTTAGTGTATAAAGTTTTATCGTATAAATTTGTATAATTTCCCGTTTTACTTACGGTAAATCTCAAATTTTCACAACTTTTGCAGCTTCGCACCTCTCAATTTCGCATAAATTTTCAAAACTGTTGTTTTCACGACTTCGCTTTAGTGCAAGAAAAAACTTGCATAACTATTGTTGGTGCTGTTGTTGTATATTTCACTCAAAAATACCCGTTAGCTTACACAATAACTTTATTTGGCATCAAATTTTCTTTCACTCATTCGAGCACTTCACTTTGCAACTGTAATTTCCTCACTTGCACACAACAACAAAGCAAAACACACTAGCGGCGAGCTAACAATGCTTGAACTAACAACAACAACTGCAGTACACGTGACATTCAAAGCTACAACTTCCTGTTGCGGGAATGGATTTGCCTCCAACTTGGCTTCGATTTTTCAAAATGGATATTTGAATGACTCTTGGCGTTTACGTCAAACGCGCCCATAAAATAACAGCAACAAAAAGCTTTATATGCAGACACGTTTACGTTGAAGCTTCTCTTAGTTATGCCGCCGTCACAATCGCTCGCTCGCTCGATTGCACACATGTGCTTTGCCCGCGCGATCGCTTGGAACTGAACTATCTGCCACTGCGGTCTACATTCGTCGCTTGGCATCTATGAGATTTTTTGCTCTTGACTAGTTGGTAACGTGCGATTTATTCGCATCTAAATTTTTCGCTTGGCAACTTTGAGGAGTCTTCTCAGATCCATCAGGCAGCGGTTGTGCCTTCAAAGCTCAATGATTTCTAGCGATCGTCGCGCTCTGACTCATGACATGCAATGTTGCGCTCTGCATTCCCCGGGAGTCACTCTTTCTCTCTCTCTCTCTCTGCTCAATATAACACGCTAATACTGCTTCCCCTGCTCCCCAAATCACTTTTTGGCGGCAATACACGCTTCCGTAGTTGTTTGTTTACCAACATGTTGGAGACGTTGTCTCGTGCAGCTGTTCGATGGTTCGTGTGTTTACCATGGTTTTGTGTGTTCGTTTATCGGATCGCTGCGTTTGCACCTTTAACAGTCTGTTGATTTGCTTCTTCGTACATTATTTGTTGCAGGTAAACATTTTTGTTTAATTATTGCCATCGCTTTTAGTTAACACCGATTGTAGCTGGTCGGCTTACAGATATATAGGTATCTGGTTGTATAATGGTGGTATTGAGCAATTACATCAAATGTGTAAAATCACTAAAAATCGATGATTTCGAAAACATACAAAAACTTAAGTATACATATATTGGATTTTCCGCGCAAAAAGCGCCTACAAAGCGGATGGGGAAAAAGTAAAGAAGGAATAATTTCAGACACAACCGAACATTTCATACTCTTGCAACGTGCAAGAATCAAAGCCAAGGAAACAGTAAAACCAATCATATAGAGTAGCTTAGCAAATTTGGTTGTTGTAGCTTTAGTACTTTAGGATATATGAGTATGTACATCAAACTTGTTAGAGGGCGTGGTCGTTGGCAAATTTGGGCCAACATTTTTTATCCCCAGGTGTCCCTTGCTACTGCCATCATAGAGCCAAATTACAGTTTTATATCTTAATTTAGCGCTTAGTTCTGGGACTTTATGTCTTTTCGGTTAATAGCGATTTGTGGGCGTGGTAGTGGTCCGATTAGGCCCATTTACGAACTCGTAGTTTTTTTGTTCTAAGGAAAGCCCACTGTCAACAAAATGATTGGACTTTGTCAGTGTGGCTTCAGACCTGGAAAATGAACAACCGATCGGATATTCACCATGCGCCAAACCTTGGAAAAGACCCGTGAAAGGAGAATCGACACTCACCATCTCTTCGTCGATTTCAAAGCTCTTTTCGACAACTCTTGCCAACAGGTGCTACTTCGGACTGAGTAGGCAATTAAGAAGCAAATTCCTCTCTCGACGAACAAAAACCAAACTCTAAAAGTCACTCATAATGTTGCGAGTTGTCGAGAGAAAAATTCTGCGATAAAAAAAGAGATATATGACGACATTGACATAGTTCAGCGAATGAAAAGACAGCGGCTACACTGGCTAGGTCATGTTGTCCGAATGGACGAAAACATCCCAGCTCTGAAAGTATTCGAGGCTGTACCCGCCGGGGGCAGCAGAGGAAGACCAAGTGGAGAAGCACCTGGCTTCGCTTGGAATATCCAACTGGCGGCACTTAGCGAAAAGAAGAAACGACTGGCGCGCTGTTGTTAATTCGGCTATAATCGCGCAAGCGGTGTCTACGCTAGTAAAGAAGAAGAAGAAGGAACCCAAGTTTCATCAAGATATCTCAAATTTTAATGGGTGGTTTAAGGTGAACAGAACAATAATATTCTGTAATAACTGGTTGCAAGAGTATAAAAAGAGACCGGAATTATGGGCAAACAATTATAGTTTTTGCTCCACGATAATGCACCTACATTGATTCTTCATGAGTTTTTCACCAAATTTTCAAATGATATCGTGCCGCTACCACCGTATTAGCCTGACTTAGCTTGGTGTGACTTCTGGCTATTCAGCAAACACGACAGTTTCGTGGAAACCATATTGAGTCAATTGAAGGCATTAAACGGGAACCGCTACGCGCATTGAAGGTTATTTCGAAAACTGACTGTACCAGTTGATTAGAAGAACCGTTGTCACAAGTGTATTTGGTTTAAGGGGGGTAACTTTGAGAGGGATGACATAGATTTTGAAGGGTAAATCAATAGCTTTAGAATTATGAGCAAAGCCTTATTCATTTTTGCTTACATGTAGTAGTATACACAGATAGCAATGTAAAGTTGAAGATAGGATTTCGCAATTATTAGTTGTACTAATACAGCTTTTTCCAATAAGAACTATATATTTCCTTAAAAACAAAATCTCACTATTTTTTTTAGGAAATTCAAATGTTTTTTATTCAAATTGTGAAGTACAATCGAGACATTTATATGACCTCCACGACTACTTTTGCATGAACGAATTGGATGAACCCAATTTGAGAGTACTTTTTCCATGAAATTAAGTCGTACTACAGGGTCTGGCACTCGAGTGTAACCAATTTAAAAGGCCATAAATTTGGTTTGGAAAATTATTTTTATTTTATTTTAAAGTACAAAATGTGTGAAAATAATCATAAATTCAGGACCAATTCACTTTTGCTCGATACGACCACCTTTTGCCTTAACTACGGCCTTGAGACTGTCAAAAACGAATCGCCTGCTGTCCGAATGGGACTTGCCGGTATTTTGGCCCACTCACGGACAATGGCTTTCTTCAGCATCTCGAGACTGGTGTATTTTTTACTTCAGTCCTTGCTCGCCAAAATGGCCCAGAAAGAATAATCCATTGACGCCAAGCTAGATGAAAACAATTGGCCCAAACCATTATTGCGGCCTCCTGGTGCCCAACCGATGACTTAGATTCTCGTGTGAACGGCGGTCAAGAAACCCTATCGTTTTGAGAGCTTACGAATTGCTCAATTGGGAAATTTTTTCGTCAGAAAACACAATGTTCGGAGTTTGACCGCTTTCGCCAAGCGAAGCAACTGCTTCGCTCTCTCAAGTCTTACTTGTTGCTGCTTCGGTGTGAGATCATGGGTCTTTTGGAAGTTGTAAGACTTGGCCTTGAGATCATTTTTCAATATGCGTCGAATGCTGCGGTCAGATATGTTCAGTTCTTTAGCCATTTGATTGGCACTTCGTCGTGGATTTCGTCAAGTTGCTTCATCACTTTCCGAACCATCTCACGTAACGTTGCAGTCTTTTGATGACCACCTCCATGGCGTTTTGCGATGCTACTAGTATCATTGTAACGAGTTATGGTGCGATAAACAAAAACTTTATTCACGTTAAGGTGTTTGAGCTCACGAACAATTGCTGACTGTGATTTTCCAGCGAAATATAAAGCCTTACCTTTGAATTCCATCGCTGATCACTGTTTTTGCGTTCACTTTTGGCAAAACGGTTTTGTACACTTGTGAAAAATACTTCGAACTGTCATTCAGCAAATTTATAAACAGCTGATTCCAGTGCGACAGCTGCGCGAACTGGCTGAAGTTGGCTGCACTTCGAGTGCCGGACCCTGTATATATCATGCACGCTCAATATTGCCTTCTAAATCTTGAAGAGAGTCTGATTTATTGCTCACGACCAATGGCCTCAAATAACCTCACTAGAGGTATTTTAATGGTGTTAAATTACAACTTCTTGGAGGCCTTTTAATGTTACAATTTCTTGAAATAATCGAATCTCCAAACTGTTGTAAGCGCTGCGTGGCACGTAGCCACCCTTGTTGGAGCCAAATGTTGTCAAGATCAACTTTTTTCAATTGCGGGTATAAAAAGTTGGTTATCATCGATCTGTATTGCTCTCCATTGACAGTAACGGTCCGATGATTCCACCAGACCAAAACCCATACCTGTCAGTTTAGTTGAATGTAATGGTTTTTAATGAATAATTTGTGGGTTCAAATGAAAATAGCCGCGCGAAGATGATTTTCTAAGTTATTTATTATTTATTTTTTTTTTTATAGTAAAATTGAATAATCCGTAAACGTAGTTCTTGGGTATATTTTTGCATGATAAAATTGAACATTACTGACTACAATAAAATTACAGATCATGACATTTTAAAAAGGGTCGCATCGACACTTAGAAATCTTATCGTCTCTATTGGAAAGTCCGAAATAAACGAACTTAATATGAACCTGTGAAAACATGAATTAAATAGATTTAAAGATATGAAAATGAGAATGTCACCCGGTCGATATTCAGGTGGCAAATATATCAATAATCTCACTTCACTTTGCCTCCTTAGAAGCAGAGAAGCAATAGATATATTGGCTCCTGAAAACGGCTCCACATACTGATATACTGAGTTCCAGGCAACAAAAGCGTTCTGGGAAAGGAAATAGCTGGTGAAATTCAGTTCAGAATTTATCGCATTCGCAGTTCAAGGGACTGAATCAAATACGTCTATCAGAATGAAGATATAAAGTACTTATTAAACCTCGTGGAAAGCGTTGGCGCCTTCACGACGTAATCTTCCGCTCATATTACTTTAAATCTCCACCTGGCAGACAGCCTAACCATACTTGTAGAGCCTTAAATTTCACCGTCTGTCAAGTATTCCGAGAGCATTCATTTTGGATATAAATTAAAAATTTTTGGCTGCACTCGAAAGAAAATTAAAATAAAAATATATACGCCCAAATGTATGGAGATTCACTTTAAATATAAGCGACTGCGATAAGTGTTCCGGAAAGAATTCGTTAGCTTCATTACCGTGCCATAGAGTTGCCATTTTTGGCAAATTAACTAAGAACCTTATTAGCTTATTTTGTTACTTTAAATCAAAAAACTTTCCTGCTGTTATTCCAAGTTTGGAACCAAGAGATATGTTACTAAGTCCTGTAAAGTATTTTTAATACGTCGACACTTTAGATATATTTTAAATTGAATCCAACTCATTTAATTTTTATAATAAAACCGATAATGAAGCCTAACAAGGAGATATGCTATATGTAAATTGAATAAATTGAATTCCCATTTTGATGACAGCAGTTTGAGGATGAATTCAATTATTCTCTAACCATCTAACCTA